GTAGGGTACTTTACACAACACAGAGATCTACAGCGTCTAGTGTTTTGATATTGCGCTCCTGTATATCATATGGGCTTTTCCACAATGCTCACTGTTTGCGGTTGGTGACTATTTTCAGTCCAATTCCGTAATAACCAATACTCTTTCCAGTTTGGATCATGGACGTTATAAATGAGGAGCCTTGCTTTTCTGTGAGCTAGAAGGCCTGGCACTATGGACTGATGATGATTCTGGAAGGCTTGTTTTTGGACACTGGTTGCTCATCTATTAATTTCCTTTAAATTTTTAAAGTGAAAAAAAAAAAAGTTGTGGTGAAGAATATTGAAATTAAACTTTCCATTGTCAATGAGAGAATAGTCTTTTATATAACCAGCAAACATATTACATTTAGGATAGTCTAAAATGGTAAAACCTCAAAGCCACTTTGGTAGGCAGAGCATTTGTGTCGGGAATCTGTGATCTAGTAACGTGCTATCTACACCATGCATGCACAACACACTCGTATAGAAGACGCCCTATTGTTAGGATCTTCAAAAAACAGAAAAAGATTGCAAATAGTTTGATCTCGAACAATAGATGTACTCGTTTAGTGTTAGAAATTTTAATTTTAATATAAATAGTACTCTCTTGAGATAATTGTCCAGTTTAATTTTTTATTTTTTGTTCAAAACATATTGAAAGTGAAAATCGAAACTAAGACATTGGAAATATTAAAAATGAAAATTCAAATTGAACAATCATTTTGAGACATAATCGGAGACGGAACTTTCGTTGAACCATGAAGAAACATTGGCTCGTACTTGGCACCTCACAATGCAAAGTTAAAACACTCACTTTCCTAGAGATGTCAATCACACTGCGAATAGTATAATTAAGTTAGGCTTCTCTTGCCCGTTAGGGATACATTTTTCGGAAAACCTTGCTTAAGGAATTATGATTCTATGTGTTGAGATAGTAGGGAACACCCCACTCGGGATATTTAACCCTTTGGCTTCCTTAGTATAAATAATAATAATAATAAGTCAATGAAACAATCTGATTGCCACTCCCTCGCTGATTTTTGTAGGTTATTGGCTCTGTGGTTGTTTGACCAGCGGATAGCAAACAACTTTTGGTTTCGAAATTTCTATCACGTGACAATTATAATCTTCAAGTTAACGTTTAAAAAACAAACAATTCCCGAATTGTTGGTCTCCACGCGAAAAGAAAGAATTGTTTATGTTTTCTTCATCATATCGGAAATTTTTCCGTCAAAAGAAATCAAACATTCTCTAATACGACAAGGCTCCTTTAAATTATTGAATTTCTTTTATTTTTAAGGCCCATTTCGAGTTTTTTTGGTTTCTTTTTTGTTTAAAGGCCTATTTCAGGTTTTTGGTTTGTTTGAATTCTCCATTTCGAGATTTTTGGTTTGTTTGAAGACCCATTTAGGGTTTTTGATTTTGTCCCGGATAAAACTACCGGGTTGGTCAAAGTACACCCACAAAGTCCACGGATTAAAATCCGCTCTGATACTATCTTGAAGGCCCATATGTGATTCCACCTCAAAACCAACTGGCAATGAGGAGAGAAGCACATGGGGTATGTATATATATTTATATTGAGTTCAAGAGTCTCCATCCATCCATGTGGGACAAGGAAACATGAAGTCATTTTCTTTCTTTCATTCATTTAACAACAACTCATTTCTTGCGGTTAGTTAAGCCCGTGCGTCTGGTTTTGCTTATTTACGTGTAATGCTAACCTCAGCAATCTTACTGAGAAATCAAAATTTCCGTCTTCTGTAAGAAAAAGTCATGCAACAATTTAGGATTTTGAAACTCTGTTTGGATGGTGAAAGCCAAGTGGGAAGTGGCTATGGGTTTCGATTCAAGAATATATATTAGTTGGGGCAATAAATTTGATAATGTAAAAATGATTGTCAAAGTCCTAAACTACATATGTGCAAGTAGCTGTTTCTAAAAGTCTTGTCAAAGTTCAGACATAAAATCCGAAGTTCATGGATGGCACAAAACCTTGGTGAAAATATCAATGTTAACCACAAAACCAAGGTACCACAGTCCAGCTTTCATTGGGATTTAATTCGCCAAGCAGAGAGGTTCATTGATTAACGAACTGATTGGAAGAAGCCATAAAAATTGACTTCTGCCAAAGCCTGAGGAGGAAATTTTTCGAATTAGTACACAAGCACATTATTGTTCGGTGAGACATTCCGAATTTTGTATAAACAAATATTTTCTCGATTTTAAAATAGTACAATAATTAGGGCAGTTAGTTGCACTGATTTGAAAATAGATATTTTTACACTGATTTGAAAAATCAAAGATTCCCTCAATGTCGACTTTGATGAGTTGTCTTGATGTAGACAACGTCTGAATTGAATGAATCGAAGCTCACACTGAATTGAATTGAATGCATATTATTTTCTTTCTTTTTTTTGTTTTGGTCAAAGCTTCTTAATTCGTATGTCGTCCAAATTCAATTAATTAAATGATTTAATTAATTAATTAAATTTTGTTCTATTAGTGCAAAGGGCCACCATTGGCCTGGAGATCCTCTTTATGTGAAAATAATAGACATTCTTTTTCCAAATAAGATAGTATTAATTTATAGAATATAAGTATATTAGTATATCACATACATACATCTCAATCATTACCTCACTCGATTGTGTTATAGAAAGATTTTGTCAATATAATAAAGTTGAAGCCTGGGAATGAATTCAATGGACAAATCAGAACTTTAAACTGTCAAACTCCTATTCTATCTTTGAGAGAGAAAATTGCCTATTTAGTTCTTACTTCTTACTATTTACTTAATGGATTCTCAAACATAACTCCCCTGGCTTTCAAAAACTTTTAGAAACGTCCTTCAGATGAATAATAAAACTATGAAATGACCCATTAAATTCTTAACATTGCCATAGTCGTTGCCCATAATAATTCTTTTACGCTTGCAAAAGCACAGCAATGAGCTAGTAATCCTCGATTTTCATTCCAAAAATCCTCAGTTTTTTAGTAAATGTTTTCCAATATCAATAGAGTTGATGATCGTTACATATCTCTTGATAAATTTCCCCAGCAAATGTTCATGAATATCCAACTTATCTTATAGAGAATGATATGCAGACTTTAGGAGATAGGAAATTTTTTTTCAAGGATGATGAAATGAAGTAAAAGCGGAGAAAACATGTTACAGAGAATAAATACGCGTTTACCAAGAGTTTATGTCACCTTTAGGAGAGAGTTGCAAACTCCAAGCAAAGTGGCAACGACTTTCCAAGATACAGTAACACAAGTGGATGTTTTCAGGAAAACTTCATCCTTGCTAGCTAGTCCTCATGAAGTCTAAACCAATGAAAAAGTCGTTCCTTGTAAGTCAAACAACATGCATATTTCCTCATTTAAACTTTCTCGATGATATCGTTTTTTGTTTTTTTTTTAAAAAAGAAGGTTAACTTGTTCGACAATTAGAAAATTTAATAATTCTGTCAAAGTTATTTGTACTCACATCACGATCTCACTGATGAAAATAAAAGTTATGTTTGTTAAATTAAAACTCGATATTTGAATTGAGGAATTTATTATTATTTTCTACAATTGCCAGGAACATTCCTACTAACTAGTTGTAACCGTTCTTTATATCTAGATTAACTGATCAAAGATGAAAGAACTAGCCTACTGGGAAGTCTTTATTTATTTATTCTTTTAAACCCTACATCCATCAAACATATACATCAATGATATATTTACTAACCAAATAAGCTGCACCATAGAACCAAACTAAGTATCAAACAGATGGAGAAGAAAGTCAATGCCCTTATGATCATCTCCTTCATATTTCTCATCTCCTTCATTCTTGGGCCGCCGCCACAACCAGCAATGGCGGCGACACCACCTAAGAAGAACACAACCAGTGTTCCAGTTGCTGTAAACGTGGGAATTGTGCTAGATATGCAATTACCTGGGCCTCAGGTATGGTTAAGCTGCATATCTATGGCGCTTTCCGACTTCTACTCCGCCCATGATTATTACAAGACTCGAATTGTCTTAAACGTGAGGGACTCCAAGCAAGACGTTGTCGTTGCTGCATCTGCAGGTTCGTTCATACTTAAAAGTATTTTATAATAGTTGCAAGAACACAACAGATATGAAAAATACATTTTTAAAGTTTTATTTTTGATTAAAAAAATGTACAGAACAAATCAAAATGTCATATAATAGGAACTGGGGATGGAGTATGTTATACCAAAACATATATGCTTTGAGTTGGATTTATTATGGGATTAAATGAATCTGTTTGATAGAAAATTGGAGGTTTTACACCTCAAGTCGTACCAACAGTATAGAAACAGGAGTTGAATAAAACATATTGGAGACAAAGTTTTTCTCTTTTTCTGTTTCTTTTTCGTTTTTGCTTTTTACCCCTTCTCTTGAGTAATGACTTGGAATGCTTGTTCTGTTTTAAGAACTTAATAGTAACTGAGAGAAAGATTTAATAAAATAAAATGGCTCCAGAATTAATGAGAAGATCATATGGTGGGCATGAATAAAATACACCGGTATTTAGTCGTTGTTATGTTTTCAGTTGTTAGTTAATTGTCACTTGTTGTCTTTCATCCATATTCCACAAGGAAGTTAATTATTCATTCCCATGTGAAAATAAGAATCATAATTATTGTATTTTTATTTTTTTTTTGCTTCAGTATATAGAATTGTCATTTTGAAAGGAACATCACAAATGAGAAATATAATTCTCATCTCATTGCAAACAAAAAGATTTAAGAGAAAGGATTTCAGTAGAAACTAATACTCATAGTTATTTAGTCAATTGACTACTCTTTCTCCTGTTGTTCAAGAAAGGCAATGACAAAATGAGTTGAGCGCACGATCATCATATTTAGCTAGAAAAAGGTATTAATTTGACCCTTTCGATTCGAAAATAAGTATAGTCGGCTGAGTTCACCAAATAAGAAACTGAAAAAGAAGGGGGGGCGGGGCGGAAGAACTACGTAGGTGGAGTAGGGTTGTCCCAAAAACTGTCGACAGCATTTGACTTCAATCTAATATTTCTTTCGATAATTTATCTCCTAAAGAAAAGGAAAACTGAAACTACCATTTAACCCAACATTTTTTTTTTTGAAAAGGAAAACTATTATATTGATACATATTAGTAACATTTCATAAAGTTTGGTAGTAAGCAAGCGTATGTACTTCTTTTACCTTATATCTGTGTACTTTAACAATAACACATCTTCTAAAACGATGAATTGGAATTGCTTTAAACTGCAAAATTGTCCCATTTGAAGAACTTATTTTCCAAGCCGCCTTACAGGTTGACTCCTTTATAGGACCCCATCAACTGATTGTGAATGACTTTCCTCATCGACAGATGTAGGCAAACTATCAGTCATATTCTGTCCTCGATTTCTCTTTTCGAAGAATTTAGTATTCTGTTTATTTCAGATTGCTATAAATTAGAAGACAAAAATTTAAAACAAGAAACACCATCATGCCTCTTTCCGGTATGAAGTTCTGGTTATTGAACGAAAAGATGGTTACCCTTACGTTGGAGTCCCGTTTAAAAAACTCTCCATTCCATAAAATCATTTAAAATATTATATTCCGTATATTTTATATCTTTTCCTTCCAAAATAATACTTTTGCCCTTAATTAATTATTTTGTACATGTTAGACACCATGAGTTTTCACTATATTTTTTCACTGACTCTATTACTACTGATTTTCAAAATATATTGAATAACAATTAATTTCCGGCAATGAATTATATTTATTTTACTAATTTTTTTATTTATACCCTAGAAAAAAAGAGATTATAACATTTATTATATTAAATTAGTACATTTATGTTTGAAGGGTACGTCAATCTATTTTAGAGTTTCATGTTAGCTATTGGACTCATATATATATATATATATATATATATATATATGTATGTATATTATCCTATTAAAATGAAAGTCCGAAAGAGAAAAAGTGATGAGGTGTCACGTTCTCATAAAACATATTACCTCCAAAACAAAACTACTTTATTTTGGTTGAAAATTAATTTATATTTTATTATTAACATAACTACTAAAAAGCAGATGAAAGAAAAATATTACAATGTAATTAAGAGTTTTATTGACTAAAACATGTCAAGCCAATACTACGTTGTTTTGATATAAAGAAAAACAAATTAGCTTTTTCTTAAAAGAATTGCCTGAGAGAAAAATTTTAGTAATTTATGTATGCTCCCATATGACCTTTTTTTCCACTTAAAAAAACCGCCATCTCATGGTTTATATTGAAAAAATAAAAATATTGAAACGCTACAGATAAATTTATAAAGAGTCTCAAAATTAAACATTTCCACTATATTCAAATTCAGTGGCTCTAAGTCAGTCTTATTCAAAAGACTGCAAGGGCGAGAATAAAATTTGAATCAAAATATATTTAAATTTTGTACGTCTAAGGGTCGACTTAATACTGAATTTTAACATATTTCGTGTAACGCATGGAGAAAATTCTAGTTTTTCTTAATGAGTGTGACCAAAGTAAATTAGGGCATACATATTACAATGCATAGGATAGAGAGAGAGAGATATTTCTTCAAGTAAAATAAAAAAAATAAAAAAAATAAAAAAATAAAAAATAAAAATTCTTCAAGTACCAAAAAAACCTCCTATATGTATTTTAAGGAAATATTAAGTTTAATTTTTAGATTCCCCCTCAGCAATTTAATTCATTGGTACATCATACTCATTCAAAATTCAAACATAAAAGGTAGCTCATTTTCAAAAGTGAATCAATTTTCTAGTGGAAAGAAAGTGATGCTCTTTCCTTAATTTATTTTCCCGCTAGTAGCAAATAACATAGTATTATTTTGCTTCACTATAATGCAGCTCTAGACCTACTTAAAAATGTCAAAGTGGATGCAATCATAGGCCCAGTTTCATCAATGCAAGCCCACTTCATAATTGATCTTGGAGCTAAAGCCCGAGTACCCATTATTTCATTTTCAGCAACAAGTCCTTCTTTGTCATCAATCCGAAGCCCATACTTCATTCGTAGTACTGTGAATGACTCATCTCAAGTTCAAGTATTAAGTTCAATAGTTAGTACATTTGGCTGGAGGGAAGTTGTGCTTATCTATGTTGACAATGAATTTGGTGAAGGCATTATACCTTTCTTAATGGATGCATTGGATGCGCTCAACATCCGTGTACCTTATCGAAGTGTCATTCGCCCTATGGCTAGGGAAGATGAAATTAGTGCTGAACTTTACAAACTAATGACAATGCAGACAAGAGTTTTCATTGTTCATATGCTGCCTGATCTTGCCTCAAAGCTATTCATTAAAGCAAAACACCTTGGCATGATGAGTGATGAATATGCTTGGATCGCGACGGATGCTATAATGAACGCGCTTAACACTATTGATCATGATGTGCTTGATTTAATGCAAGGAGTAATTGGCGTAAGACCTTACATCCCAAAGAGTCAAGAGCTTACAAGTTTCATGAATCGTTGGAAGAAGAATTACCGACAAAACAATCCATCTGCTCTTAACGCACAATTATCATTGTTTGGTTTGTGGGCATATGATTCCGCTACAGCATTAGCAATAGCAGTGGAGAAATCAGGGAATTTTTCGACCAATGGGTTTTGGGATCAAGATTTTTTGAGGAATTCGAGTTCAACAGACCTCGAAAGCTTGGGAATATCCAAAAATGGTGCGATGCTTTTGAAAGCATTATTAGAAACTTCCTTTACAGGCATAACTGGATACTTCAAACTTGATGGCGGACAACTGCAATCTCCAGCATATCAAATAGTGAATGTCATTGCTAATGGTGCAAAAGAAGTTGCATTCTGGACTTCAGAGAAGGGGATTGAGAAAGATCTTAATTCAACTGCTAATAAAATAAGCAATACTGATAAGGCCATATCAAAATCAGACTTGACCATTATATGGCCAGGAGACAAAGCAAGTCCACCCAAGGGTTGGGTGATTCCAACAAGTGGGAAGAAGTTGAGGGTTGGTGTACCAGTGAAAGATGGTTTTTTTGAATTTGTAAATGTTGAAAGGAATTCAGATAATAGCTCAACGGTTACAGGATACAGTATTGATATTTTCAAAGCAGTAATGTCTTCCTTACCCTATGCCGTTCCATATGAGTTCATTCCATGGGAAAATTCGGATGGCAAAATTGTTGGAAACTACAATGAATTAATATACCAAGTCTATTTGGGGGTATTTTCTCTATCTATCTTTCATACTCATGTATTCTTGAGATCAAGTCTCCTTTCTCATTCACAATGTGAATAACATAATAAATGATTTTAGTTAGCACCACATTGTAGCTTGAGTTAAAATTACAAGTCACGATTAAAACTACATCATATTATAAGTCATGATTGATGCACACACTATTAGAGCTAATGTCTGAAATTCATTTGCATATTCAACAACTAAAAAATAAGTTTCTTTTTTCGTGAAAGAACAATATGTTACTCTATGTTTATCATTCTATATGAATATTTGAGGCTCACTTCAAGTTTTGATGCAGGTTTTTGATGCTATTGCAGGAGACACAACCATCGTGGCAAATAGGTCCCAATATGTGGACTTCACTATGCCATACACTGAATCTGGAGTATCGATGATTGTTCCAATCCGTCAGAACCAACAGAAAAATGCCTGGGTATTTTTGAAGCCACTAACATGGGATCTTTGGCTGACAACCTTCTTTTTCTTCGTAATTATTGGATTTCTTATATGGCTTCTTGAACATAGAATTAATGATGAATTCCGAGGGCCTCCCTTACATCAAATTGGCATGGTCTTCTGGTTTTCTTTTTCTACCATGGTTTTCGCACAAAGTAATCTTTAGTGAATTTTATACTTTTGTTATTTGAATTTTGATTGCTGATTAATTTTTTTCTTGTTTTTTTCTCATGTTGTTTACTCTTTCTGTTTGGTAGAGGAAAAGGTAGTAAGCAATTCAGCTAGGTTCGTGCTGATTATTTGGTTCTGGGTTGTGGTTATACTCATACAAAGCTATACAGCTAGTCTTACATCAATGTTGACGGTACAACAACTCCAACCAACAGTCACTAATGTAAATGAACTTCTGAAGAACAAGGCATATGTAGGTTACCAAAAAGGTTCATTTGTTACTGCAATGTTGGTTAGGATGGGTTTTGAGAAGTTCCGTCTTGTAGAGTACAACTCTGTGGATGAATTACACAAGCTTTTCACAATTGAGAGCGGAAATGGTGGCATTGCAGCTGCTTTTGATGAGATCCCCTATATGAAGCTTTTCCTTGCAACATATTGCAACCAGTATACAACTGTTCAGCCAACATATAAGACAGATGGCTTCGCATTCGTACGTACATTCATTTATAATTCTTTCAAAGTTCAGAGATACTTTGGTTAATATACCCATGCGATTCAATTAAAGTAATGAATTTGTCTTGGTTGTTTCTCTTTTATAAATTCATTAAATTATATGCTCCAATTGGTGATTAACAAATAGGACCTTAAGAATCTAAGTGATGTCGCGCAATACTTTTTCCAATTTTGTGTTTGTGTCATCTGGTGTTTAATTTTTCTTCAATTTTCAATGCATTGTAGGTATTTCCAATTGGTTCACCCTTGGTAGGTGATGTTTCTAGGGCGATACTAACTGTTACCGAGGGTGATCAAATGACTCAAATTGAGAAAGCATGGATACTTGAAAAATCTACTTGCCAAGACTCAAGCGAATCACTTGCTTCTAGCAGTCTTGACCTAGGGAGCTTTTGGGGGTTATTCCTAATTGTTGGAATTGCAGTCGCTTTGGCATTTGTAATTCATGTAGCAATGTTCTTACTCGAACATTGGCGGCTAGTAACTGATACTGGTCATTCTACGTGGGAAAAGATCGTAATGCTTGCAAGACGCTTCGACGACAAAGATTTAAGCAGTCATACATTTAGGAAATCTGAGATTCGAGGTGGAGGCACCATCAATGGGGATGAGACCAATGAAATTCCACCACGTAGCCCAAGTTATCCACAAAGTCCATCAGAATTTCCACTGCAAGGATCTCCGTTTTCCCAAATCCCACGAAGTCCAACCTTATCAAGTCACACACAACGTGATTTCTCAGGAGAACAAGAATATCATCCAAATGATAATGTGACATCTATGAACCAAGAAGGAGATTTATCTTCCGAGATAGTGCCAGCAATTGAGCTTATTAGTCCTAATAGTGACCAACAAATGACTTGATTTGTTTGTTGAATTAGATTACATGACAATGTTAATTATTTCGTGTTTCTATATTTTGTGGTTTATGTGATAGAAAAATATGGTCTCATTAGTCAGAAAATTTGCTTCATCAATCATGTCCTTTTTTATTTAGTTGACAGAGACAGGTTTTGTCATGTTAATTTTTTTCTTTTATATATTGTCTTTTGAAACAAGCATGAGCGTTAAGAAGCAGTTCTAATTACTAAGCATGATTATTCACAAATATCTTTAAACATTAATATGAGTGGCTGATTTTCTTATTTTGGTTCAAGGATTGTTATTCAATTATAGTATATGTGAGACTACAAGTTTCACTGTATTTTTTATACTTTTAATTCAAGTATCTTTTGGTTTTGATTTATTTTTATGGGAGTTAATACTTGATTAATTTGACAATTTAATCAGGTGTTTTCTTTCTAATGCTACCAATTGTTTGTGTTCCATACTTGTCTTCAACATTTAGCAAAATAGCAATCAGTAGATTATACATGATGGTAGTAACACATTGAATGTGTATAATTAGTCTAATTAAGAAATCAATAAAGATAAAAATATTATAATTACAGTCATTTCAATTATTTTTATTTTTGGTTCAACTAAATTTTCAAAGTTTTTATGCTATTATAATTTAATATAGAACGTTATCGTGCACCATCAAATTATGATAATTTTTTATTAGGCATTGAACTTGGTCAAATATTTTGGCAAAATATAAGGTTTTTTACGATTACCCTATTAAATCTACGATTGAATGCTTGAGATGTAAAAAATTCAATTTTAGTCGATGATCTATAATACACTTGAAAATATTCCTTGAACCAAAGTTTTCATTCTATTAATTTATCTAAAGTCTTATTTACTTTTATTTTGACATTTTTATTTCAAGAAAAGAAAAATTCCCCCATTTTCTTATTTTTATGAAACTAAAAGTTAAAAGGACTCTCTTGGAATTTGACCCGATTTCAATGTCTTTTGAAGTTAGTTTTAGTCTGTTTGGAAATCATATTAATTTTACGCGTCTTGACAAACTCGTGGACAGCGAGTCAGCTAGCATTTGTCTCTCAAATAGTAACGAGAAAATGATCTTGTAACTATAGTTTTCAGTTAGTACTAGGACCTTACTTGTATGACACCTTAAAAATTAACTATATCCACTTTGTGTATTTGACTTAAGGCTTTACCTATTTCTGGAGTACATCTTTGTACTCAAGCTATGAAATGCAAAATTTTATTATGAAAGTCAAGATCTAATTTTATTCTTGTTAAAGGAGATAATATGATTTATTGATTTTAATCTCATTTATTGCAACAACAAAAATATATCTTAGACTATATGAAAAGAATGCAAAAGAAGAAAGACATCAGAATGATCAACAATAAACTAGAAAAATGGACTGGGGTCTACTTAGAGTGTAAGGGCTTCTCGGATTGCAAAGAATTCAGCAAGCTCTGGATCTAGTGTCCCATCGATCTTACAAGGAACTCCACGAGCAAATGCTCCAATGATGCAGCTTGAGGGAAGTAAGTAACACGTACAACCTAAGGGCAAGGAAGCCTAGAAAGGAAAGATCAAGACAGTAAAAATAAAAACGGAACCTTTTCTTGTTGCCTGGTCAGTTAGTACTTCTCATAAATATGTACTCCACCACAAGTCTTCCCTGATAATTTAGAGTATGTAACAGAAAACAAGTCCTTTATTCGCACTATCACTTAACGGTATATACTTAGAATATATGGCAATTAATTAATATTCAAATACCTAACTCATTCTTTGAGTTTGTCAGATACCCTCACAACTCCAACAAGCCTTTGAGCTATAACCTTTCTCCCACTTGAAATTGAACCTTCTCCTAAAGGTTGAATTTAGGAAAATCTCTAAAGAAATAGACCCACACTTCATGATCAGACAACTAAGATGAAAATAGAAAGAAATAAGAACCTTGATTTCATCAAATCAACAATTGAGAGAACTAAAAGAAAGTGTTGCATTCACAATAATGATAGAGTTGTACAGTGTATCACATATACATACTTGATTGTGTCGGTTAGTGTTTGCCACAGTCATCTATTCGAAACTTATTTCCATCACGAGCTATATACAATATGAACTATACAATCATCTATCCGAGTGACAATTTGCCACATCAGCATCACCCAATTTGGGAGTTGAATCTTCTAGAATGTCCTTAACACGTAGTCCTTCAACTCCCACCCATGCGGTGTATGATACTTCAACTCCCAAAGAGACCTCAATTGATACAACCTAAAAGGTAACGGAAAATGTCGAGAGCAGATGACAAATGTAACTCAGGAGTTGGACAAACTAACATGATTTTGAACATAATAAGTGATGTGAGGTCGAGTGAAGTAAAGATAGAACAAACATATGCACAGACAGTCACCATTTTAAAGAAAATGAACAAAAAGTTGAAACCAAAAGATGGGAGCTCAAAAGTGAATTTCTTGTTCAACTCTCGAAGCTTGTTTCAAACCTTAAGGTAATATCTAAATTTACGAACATGAATTGGCTTGGCTGTTGCATAGCTGTTGGGTGTGCAAACTTAATCCCACATCGGTGGTGGGAGATTCCAAACTCAATATTTAAGTTTGGTGGGTTACTCCTCCTATTGCCAATTGGCTTTATAGTGAAATCCCATTCGGGCTTATATATTGGGCTTGAGGAATACTAGACTAGGAAAGAAGGATTCCAATAATAACCATGTGGCAAAAGCATACAAACATCTTCTCTCATATGACCATGTAAGAAGGCGTTGTTGACATACAACTCAAATATTGTCTAGCCTCTACAAGATGCAATAGCAAACATGATACGTACAATCACTACTTTGATCAATTGAGAGAGCACTTCGGTGTAGATGGAAACAATCATTGGGAGCACCGCAAATAGTACAAAGAGATTGTATAGATGGAATAGAATGGTTGAGATCAAAATGATGAAGTTTAAGCAATAGTGGTCTAAGTCTCGTACTTACTCAAACTGGAGGAAGAAGTGGAGGAGAAGAAGCAAGAGAGACAATGGGATGAGGGAAAAGAAGGACTGGAGGAAAAAATGGATAAGAACGTGGAATATCTGGAGATGAAGATGGAGGATCAGAATTCGGATCATCATCAGATGGTAATATTAAAGGAGAAACAACTTGAGAATGAGTTTCATAATTCATAATTCATGGCCCTAGAACAAGCATAATGCCTCCCGTCTATTAAAAAAAACATTCAATAAAAAACATTCAATTCAAAAGCAAAAATCAATTAGACTCCTATATTGGATCAAAACTGGAAACCCCAAGAAACTTATTCAACATTAAAACTCAAAACCGAACCATTGTAGCCAAAATGGAGTAGTTTTGTTTGTCCTTATTAGTTCATATAGTCTAAATTGAATAATTGCCACAGTTGTCCATGAGAATTTCATGACCAAGTCTAGCAACAAAAGTGTTCAAGAACCAAACAAATCTAAATTTGATTCTAATCAGGTCTGGTTCTAATCATTTAACCACTCATTTATGCATAATTACATGGGAATCTAGGCCTATCTCATGTTCTAATCAGGTTTGATTTTGATCATGTAACCACTCATTTATGCATAATTACATGGGAATCTAGCCCTATCTCATGTTGTAATACGATTTATAAGTGTATTACAGAAATTCTGAGTAATAGATTAAAAATAGTACTCCCGAACACAATTAACCAAAACCAAGGTGCCTTTGTTATAGTGAGATCATTTATGCATAATGTTCTGCTTACACAAGAGTTGGTTAGATTATATAGGAGGAAATCAGTAACTCCTAGCTGTTTATTGAAAGTAGACTAACGGAAAGCTTATGATAGCATTAACTGGAAATTTCTGTATGAGGCACTGGAAGGGCTTGGATTCCCGAGAAAATTTATAGAATGGGTTATGCAATGTGTAACTACGTGCTCGTATTCTTTGAATCTGAATGGCAATCTGGTTGGTTATTTTCGGGGTAAAAGGGGCATTAGGCAAGGGGATTCTGTCTCGCCACAATTATTTGTGGTGGTCATGGAATACCTTACTAGATGGTTTGGAGAGAAAATTGAAAAGGGTAGTATTCAGTTTCATCCTCAATGTGAAGAGGAGAAGATAGTAAACCTTTGCTTTGCAGATGATCTCATCATGATCTGCAAAGCTGAGGAACAGACTGTACGGAATGTAATGGGAAAACTCGTGGAATTTAGTAGAACAACATGCCTGAATGCTAACCTGAAAAAATCTCAGGTTTATGTAGGAGGTCTCTCGGAGGACAAAAGAGCCAGAATAGTAAGTATTGTTGGGTTTGAAAGAGGGAAGTACCCAATGCAATATTCAGGGTTCCCAATCTCCCCCTGTGCGTGGACTCAGAATGATTGTCAAAACTTAGTGGATAAAATGACCATTAGGTTGAAAAGTTGGGCAACACGGCATCTGTCGTATATGGGGAGGGTTCAGTTAATCAATTCAGTCTTGCTGCACACGCAAACTTATTGGGCATTAGTATATCTCATCCCAAAAATTGTATTGTAGCAAGTTGAAAGGATGTGCCGGGAGTTCCTTTGGGGAAAGAAGGGAAGGCGGGTTGGGTATCAGGGATGTTATGAAGTGGAATGTGGCAGCTGTGGGTAGACAGGTGTGGGAGTTAACCCATAAGAAGGATAACCTTTGGATTAGATGGATTCATGGAGTCTATTTAAAGAGGAAAGGCTTCTGGGAGGTGGAAGCTGTGAGCAATTCAAGCTGGCACTGGAAGAAGGTTTTAATGATTAGGGATAAATTCAGAGCTGGTTTTCAGCATGGAAGATGGCAAGTACACAATACCTTCTGGGTTTAAGTGGCACAAAGGTCGAAATGCACTGCAAAAAATTGCAGATGTGATTCGGAATTTAGTTACTGTTCCCAAACATTGCTTTTGATATGGTTGTGTTGGCAGCACAGGGTGCAGACTAAGCAGAGACTCAGGCACTTGGGTGTGGCTATTGAAGATGAATCGTGTTTGCTATGTAAGAAGACTGTTAAAACGCCTGAACATCTTTTTGATCAGTGTGACAATGCCAGGGAGGTATGGCTGATACTCAGGAACTTGTTCAAGTTCCCTGAACAATGATAGCTGTTAAGCAGTGGAAGAGACTGCCTTATGTCTACCGAGGTAATCTAGTCAAGAGGAGTGTGCTCTATACTCTCATTGCAGCGGGATACTGTAA